AAGTAGAGTGATCCAAGAAATATAAGAGCCTTCAAGACAAGAAAAAAGAAGAAAAATGACATGCAGATAAAATACTTAAGGACTGGGAACTCTGCTTTATATCATTCCCACTCTACCTATGAAACAGGAGCAAAAAACTAAGGATTTGAACAATACCTCAACTACAACAGCCTGGCTAATGTGATTGTCCTTAAAAAATTCTCCCTTTAATGTAGATCTAGTATAAATTGGTAAACTTTTCTAGCTCACAGATCAGATATTAGGGGTAAATGTAGAATTCTTGACTTATTCCAGACTTAGAAGACTCTGGAGCAAGGTTGCATAGTATCAAACCCTGACTTTGGTTTGATAACATTAAACAGCACAGTCACTAAAATTAGAGTCAAAGGACTAAACAGAAAAATGAATTTAACTAAAATAAAAGCTAAAACTTTAAAATGTATCTGGTGAAAACATAACACAACATAGAAAAATAGAAACAGAATGAGAAACTAAGGTTGGAGATAATCACATCTCCACAGAGCATTCTGACAAATGTGAATAAACAAAATATGAAGAGATAATGGCTAAGAACTCTCTCAGATTTCTAGATTAAAGCAGCAACATAGATAACAAAAGTCAAGCTAAGAGAGAATAAAACTGACTAACAAAGTAAAAATCTTTGAACCAACAACAACAACAACAACAAAAAAAAAACATTAAAAAAGAGTGTCTACCAAAGAATCATCACTAGATTAGAAACCAGAATTCTGAATCACGTCTTCACTGCTACTGGTTATATAACCCGTAACTATATAGAAGTGAACTATTTAAATGAGATAGAGAGTCTATCCTTCACAGACCCTAAGTAAAAGAATTACTCAGATTATCTGCTGTAAAAAGTTGGCTGTATAAGGAGGACATAAAATCAATGGTGTGACTCTGAAACCCTATTGGTAAAAGAATAGAAAACATGCCATTATGCTCCAGGCTTGGGCTGATACTATCTATATACTTATAAACTGACAGAAAAAAATTGGGACCTATTCCTCCTTTAGTTCTAGAAAAATGAGCTACATAAGTAGATTATTTCAATCATGTACTTAAATCATGCCATGCCTGGTTTCGGTGCTGAAGGTAGAGAATCAAAGGACAGAAATTCCTGATTTAATGTGTTTATACTTCAAATAGGAGAGGCAGACCATCAACTATACACACAGATATTAGGGGGTTTGATGAGTGGCCAATGAAAAACTAAAGGAAAGTGAGGGGATAGCACGAGTTGAGGGGAAGTCTGGGTAGGCTGCGGTGTCAGCAAGAGCCTGGCAGAGAAGAGCTAGTAAGGTCAAGGGAAACTGACCCTAAAAATAATTTTAAAAATTCACTTACAAAGGTGAGGAGGGTGCATAAACAGATTGGTATGGAGTGCATTTACCATTCTGGGGCAGGAGGCAAAGAAGTGTCACTGGAGTCATAGAATGAAGCAATCAGTAGGTAGGAGCCCAACAGCACTGTCAGACTACTGCCTAGCTGGAGGGAGCAGGAAAACTTCTGACCTACTTCTCTGGCCCCCTAGCCCCTGCACCAGTTTTCAGCAGGGTCTCCTGTTTGCTGAATTCCATCAGCAGTTGGAGGCAAGGAAACCAGAGAATGTAGTCTCCAGCGCTCTATGGCCTGGGGCTGCAGACAGGTCAGGGCAGGGATGTGAAGAAGCAAACCAGTGTCAGCAGAATGAGGAAGCCTCCCTCACAGGCCCTGTTTGAGTAAAAGACTTGGGATGTTAGGAAGAGAGTAAGTGCCCTAAAGAAAAGCTTTCCAGGCTGAGGGGCCTGTATAATCCAGTCCTGAGGCAGGAGCATGCCTGTTTTTGAGGGACAGCAAAGTAGCCAGAGAGGCTGGAAAGGTACAAGCAGAGGGATTAGGCGATGAGGGCAGAGAGGTTAAAAGGGGGAATGGAAACATTTGCAGGTCATTTGAAGGACTCTTTCGAAATAAAGTGAGATGACCTGGAAGTTACTGGAAGATTGAAGCAAAGACATTATTCACTGATGACTCAGAAACAGAAGGTTCCCTGGGGTAACTTTGTTTCTGCAACCAGGTTTTAGGTAGAGATAAAATAGGGATTTTAATAATGTATTCACTGAACCTTAAATGATGTGTTATTAATGCCAGATATATAAATTTTAACATTTATCTAGGCAGAAATTAAGATCCACACATCAAAATAAAAGGAATATTTCAATAGGCGACATTTAAAATCAAAGAGTATTTTTATCAAGGGTGTTCCCCCCGCCCCATGCCCCCAAGGTCATATAAGAGAATAATTATAAATTAAGCTGAAAATTCAGGTTGTCATCAGACTATGAGGGTCTTTAAATTCCAGGTTAGAATTTACATTTTTTTATTTTTTTTTTTAAAGATTTTATTTATTTGTGCACACAAGAACCGGGGTACAGGCCAGAGGTGAATGGATGAGAGGATTCACCAGAGACAGAGTGGGGAATGTGGGGAACAGAACAGGCAGATTGACTGAAATACACTGCTGAGGGGAGCAGGGGGTGAGACACGAGAGGTCTGCCTCTTCATGTGGGTCACCCCTTTGGCTGGGGATCAGACTCATGCTGCAGTGGCTGTGAGAAGGTCCACAGTGCTGTGCTTTAAACCTATTGTGCCACTGGGGGGGGGGGCTGCATTTTATTTTAATGTTATAAGCACCCATAAATGAATTTTTCGATAGGAAAAAGGTTATTTTCTAAAATTAACCTGTTACAATACTGCAGTATTTTACAGAATCTGAGTTAGTAGAATCCCTGAAAGTCTTATAATTCAATTCCCCTTAAGAATAAATGCAGCGAGATCGAGGGTACCCCAGAACATGGATTTGAGGATAGAGTTGAACCTGTATGAATTTGTTAGAGTAAGAGGAAAGGGATCTGAATCTTAAAATTTATACAGTCTCATACTAAGATGTAACACAACTAACAATTTCAACCACAAGATCTGGAGGGTGTCCAGAGCCATTTTAGATTTTTGTCTTGAGAAGTCATTGGCAAACTCTGTAGACAGTTTGGAACAGGATGTGTATGTGTCAGCTTTTTTAATAAAACACATGGTGTAAGATTATTCTGCATAATCCCTGGGAATCAATAGCAGGTTCAGTGGCCTTTATCTCCCTTCATTGTATCACCTTGATACTATTTATATATTTCTATAAAAGGTTATTTCATTTAGGCAAACTGATCTTTTGGAAAATAAAGTTTATAACTATCTATGTGTATGTTCATAGAATTGTATTGTACATACATAGAATAGGGTTGTCAAATCATTGTCAAATATCTCAAAGTCTCCCAGATGGCACTGTCCAAAATGAAGTTATCTCTCTCATGATTTTGACTATTATGCATTGCTCTCAGGGCACAATGGGTGCATACCATCATTATGAGTGATAGGTCATAGTCAATCTGAATCATGAAATTTGACTTAAGGCTTAAAACAACCTCAATAAATTTAGTTGTGACATAATTTCATTTTTTCAGTACATGTTAAAGGAGTTAATCTTTATAGTCTAACTCATTCTGAACATTTTCTACATATTTTAAATGTTGTTAGTATCCCTTCTTTCTTTTGATGGTCCTTTTGAAAATGGTATTTTAAAAATCCATTGCTAGTTGCATAACTGAATATGCATAAATACACTGAGTGGTGTATCCACATGGATGAATTTTAGGCTATATGAATTATATCTAATGAAGTTGTTATTTAACATCATGAGTCCCTTGAAGATGAATTATGCTAAGTAATATTTTAGCCTACAATTAATAATCAAAATTACTTGATATCCTTCCCAAAACTATCATTGTTGACATAAATATTTATTGAACTGAAAAGGAAAGTTCAAGATACACTTGGCTAAATACAGAATACTTATGGTCAATTTATTCTGATATTAACATTTATTCACATTCTCTAGGCTATTAAACTGAAGCTAGGCATCCACTGTGGGAAACAAGTTCATTATTAAAAGTGATAGTTAATCAAACAGATAACTACATCAATTATGTTTAGTGAAATTGTGTTATAAACAGATCATAGCTGAAGCTCAGAGCAACTTTTAGGAGTCTAAGACTATGAAACATGGTATTTTTTAAAATACATCAAGCAATTTTTTCTCAATACTTGAAATTCACAGTGGATTTAGAATTCTGTGTTGCATTGCATTTACACCCAAATTGGTAATTCAAAACTAACAGTGAGTGAAGACAAAGTTACTATTAAAAGAGATCATCAGGGGCCTCCCTGGTGGCTCAGGGGTTAAAGTCTCGACACTATCAAACTATCACCAGACTCTCAGCCACTGCAGCAGGAGTTTGATCCCTGGCCAGGGAAGTGACCCACATGGCAAACAGACCTCTCCTGTCTTGCCCACTGCTCCCCTCAGCAGTGTGTTTCAATTGACCTGCCTGTTTCTGCTCCCCACTCTGTCTCTGGTGTATAAATAAATACATTTTTTTTTAAAGTTAGATCATTAACAAGTTCATGTTTACATTAAAATAGAATCAGAAAAGGCCAACACCTGGAAATAACCAGCCTTTTCATTTCATAAATGGGGAAACTGAGGCTCAGATAAGAACTATGTATTATTCAAAGTAACAATTAGTAAGTGATAGTAGGAATTCAAACCCCAAACGGTCTGATCCAAAAATCCAAGTCTTCTGGAAGTTACAAGCAGAATCACATTATTTAGCCAAAATAAATGTATATCATCAAATGTTAACATTAATGTTGTTTCATTTTTTACTTTAAATGAATAAAAAAATTGCTAATCTAAAGAAAGTTACCTCCATTAGCTAAAAAGCTCTGATAAAAATTTTAAATAGTGTTATCAAATACAATTCTGAATTCCAAACCAAAACTTATCTAAAATGTAGTTAAACTATAAAAGGTCAACATTCTATGCTAATGGGTTATGGTAAACAGTGGACTTTGGGGGATAACATTTGTCTTATTTGTATATTTTTTACCTTTAGCCATGTCACATTCCTTAATCATTTTGAGAAAGCTGGAAATTTCCCTATCTAGTCTCTGTTGGCATGTTTGTGCTTTCTGGAAAAAAAAAAAGGACAAAGTTAAAACACAGTAAGAGAATTTTCCATTATGTCTGCTTTAATGTTTATATAAAAACTTTTAGTTCATTAGTGGATACATTGTAATAATTGACTTATGGCCAATAAGTCATACTTGTGCACCAAACAGAAAGAAAAGAGTGAGAAAATTTCCTCAGAAATTGGATATAACATTTTAGTTAGCCATGCACAGAACAAAAATAAACCAAAATTCTAAATATACTTAGTATGTCTCAGATAGATACCATACGTTTGCCTGAATTACTTCCAGCTCATTACACCATATATAAGCTGAGGCGTTAGATTTCACTTATCTATTAACACTTCTAGTAGGTATGAGTAAATTCATCAAACTATAAAAAGTATTCCTTAAGAATATATTTTTTAAATGCTTTTTTCCTTTTTAAAAAATCCAGATGGTACTAACATTTGGAAACATTTTTGTTCAGCAATCTATGTGTACACAGCCCCCACAAAGTCAGACCAATAAGCACATTTTCTTAGTAAGCTAATACTTATCAAATAAAGAAAAATCAATTACAGAAGGCATTTTTATAATTGAAAATATCTACATATTTTGGCCCTCCCTGGTGGCGCAGCGGGTTAAAGCACAGCACTGAGAATCTAAGGCCACTTCCGCATGAGTTCGATTCCCGCCTGCCCCAGAGGCGACCACATGGTGTGGCAGACCTCTCCTGACCCGCCTGCTGCTCCCGTCACCAGTGTACTTCGTGGATCTGCCTGTTCTATTCCCCACTGTCTCTGGTGAAGCCTCTCGCCATCCCTGAGCCTCTGGCCTGTACCCCAGTTCTGTATGCACAAATAAAAACAAATCTTTAAAAAAAAATCTACATATTTTGATCCCTAAATGCAAAGTATAAATATGCACAATGTGAGCTGCATCTTATTTTAGCACAGATTTGGAAATCCAAAATTAAATCAGAAAAGTTCATTTGTTGGTTATATTAGTAATGCAATTGTTAAGTGAGATTTATTTATAGTTTCCCTTTAACCAACTAGGACTAATCAGAAATTTATCACCATAAAATTGTTTGGTTATGGCAATAATAAAAAGTATTCTGAGACCTTGACCAATGTAATGTATTTGACCTTATGAACCGACACTACTTTGTACTCTTAATCTCAAGTGGTTGACCAGTAAACACTTTTGCTCTCCCCAAATCAAGCCTACGATAGCCAAACACACCAGGTGACATAGGTAAGCAGTCTTTTCTTCTTTACAACTTGTAAATATTTAAGTGACTATGAAGCTTGGCTTGGCCACAGAATTATTCATGGTACTGCATTAGTGGCAGGCAATGTTCTCTTTAAAGTCACATTACTGTTTTGAGAGCTCCAACATGAAAATGTTAATGCATGTGATTTTTTTTTTCTGGAGCAGAGGAATACCTGCACTAGGTAATGCAAAGGTAAATGGTATGCTGGACAATTTCTCCTGATATAGCCTGTGGATACAGATTTAAAGTGAGGGAAAAGTCAATCTGGAGGATCTGAAAACATGCAGAGCAACAAAAGGCAGTGCTCATCATTTATTGATATAAAATCATCATCTTCTCTCTATACATTATTTAATACTCCTGCCCATGTCATGTGCAAATGAACATTATGTTTTCTCTTTTCCTTTCAATGGGCAGAATAAGAGAGTTGCATGAAAGTGCTGGCTTCATTTACTGACTGAATCTTAGCAAACATAGATCCTGAGGTTGTAAAGACAAGACACATTCTAAACAGCATCAGCTGGGAATACTTCACCTTCCTCTAGCATATCTGACATTTACTAAAAAAATAAATGAATAAATAAACTTCCTTGATGATTTACTTGTTCTAAAAAGTACATAAGTTAGCTGGAGAAGATTCAATCTACACAGTATTGTATAATTGGGTACAACATGTATCTTCTGTTCTAAACAGTTTAGTCTCATGTAAGTAATACTGACAAGAATGGAAAGATTACTAACACAATAATTCTCTGATTGCTATAACTTCCCCTAGCAACTATGGATTACAATATGAAATTCTGAAAATCTGCTTGATGGTTACTGCCTTTAAGTTCTTTGTGTGGTGTCTCATTCGTGACTTCTAGGCCATTTACCTTATGGAGGGACACTTTTCTGGTTTTAATATTTATTCTACAAAAATAGAATCACACTATGCATTGTTCTAATAACTGACGTGTGATCATGTCATGTCACCTGGGCACAGCACAGAAGAACAAGATCAAACCCACGGACAGGTGAGAGACATGCAGACAAACAGCTAAGCCTCATTCACAACACAGGTCTCCTGCCCCCAGTTCTGTTCACCCAGATTTCTGCTGCTAGTTTTGTTTGCTTTAATTTGATGTCAAACTACCTTATGATCCCTAATCTATGGGGAAGCTAAAACATATATATCAAGAGATTGGGCATTTAGGGAAGAGTGTGCAGAGTAGGAGAGAGGTAATTCCAGACAATCTACACTTGGTTAATTAGAACAGAAGCAAACTGCTTTCTAAACAGCAATAAAAAGGAACAAACTGTTGATATATAGAACATAATGAGTGAAAAAATTCAGACACCAGAGAGCACATATGGTATGATTCCATTTACATCAAGTGCTAAGACATGCAAATTGACAATGCCTATCACGACAAAGTAGATCGGTGGCTGTCTGAGATGAAATGGAGGGGTCTCTGGTAAATGACACAGGGAAATTTTTAAGATGATAAAAATATTCTAGATCTGAATAAGAATCGTGGCTACACTGCATACATCTGCCAATACGTCAAATGCGCTCATTCTAGTATATAAAAGTTACCCCTCAATATTAAAATGTTAAAGTAGATTGTTGACCTGATAACATTCCTCTTTGTGGAAAACAGCCGGCTTATGGGTGCTGGTGCCCTTGTGCTTCTCTCCAAATTTTCCTAGCTGAAGCTGTATCACTTCAAGGCTAACCCATGTTTCACCTTCCCTCAATCTGAGTCATCTAGGGCACATTTATTCTTCTTGGTGCCTAGAGGCTACGATGGTCCTATTTTGTAATCTTCATATTTTGCAATAGACATTCACTCAAAGTTAAAGATAAAACATAAAATAAGATATATAGAAAAAGGAAGTTCTTCACATACCTGGCTATCAGCCCTAGAGTTCCCTCCCTCCCACCGCCCCAACCGTTCTCAGCTCAAAGCAACAACTGCTAAGATTTTTCTTCTTAGGATCATCTAAGCTACACCAAACTGTGTGAATATGCATCCAAAGTTCTCTCTCCCAGTAGCCTATTATATACAAAAATATAGCATTTGTCCTTTTCATAATATGTAATAAATGAATATTTACTCATTTATTCATTCCTTCACAGATATATCAGTCTTTATCATGTTGATGTACAATTTTCTATATGTTCATTTCACTAAGAAATCATCTATTCTTCAATCAGAAATATATGACTTGATTAAAATTCAGTGTCATCTGTTCATTAATTCTTACAACAGACATACAATTCAGATCCTACACAAAGTATCCTCAAAAAATATTTTTAGTACTACCCAAAATCTAAAGGTCTATCCCAGTGTTGTCTAACTGAAGTTTCTGTGATGACGGAAATATTCTACATCTTTGTTGTCCAAGATGGTAAGTCCAGATGACTGTCGAACACTTAACATGTGTATAGTTACAATGAGGAACTGAATTAAATTGGTTCTAATTAATTTGGCTATAACTATCCACCTATTTCTACCAGCAATCATATTAGGGCAATGTGTTTCTATCACAATACTGTCCTTGATCTTTTCTTCCCATTTTTAGTTGAAAATAAATATTTAAGTTGTGACTAAGGCAACAACCTTGAGCCCAAAATGTCTATGATTACTCCTTTTTTCTCCCTGGATGCCGAATCTCAAGGCAGTGACAGGTAAGAGAAATGTGTTTAAATTTTTTGAAGCTCCCATTTTGGGTGGAGATAAAAATAAGCAGGGATCACGTAGCCATTGTTTTTTCAGTGTAGATATTTTATAGGTCTACTTCCCACTCCAAAAGTATGTATGTAGAGAAAATGAGGTTTCAAATTAATTTAGATGGTTTTATAGTACTCCAGTCCTAGAGTTCATTTCCTATTGAATGTAGATAGGCATCTAGAACAGATCTATTTCAAACTGGTCCCAGAATTCCCTTGTCACTTAAGATCCCAAAGATCAGGGGCCCATCAGCCACAAGCTATAATCAATATACTTAAACATTCACTTCCAATTTTACCTAGCATGATTTAAAGTGTTAGCATTCAAATTCTGTTGGACAGAATTTGCAAATCCTCAACGTGCTTAATTGGAGTAGCTAAAACTCTCATTGACTTCAAATGCTATAAAATCTAGAAGGCAAAACTTGATTTTACAGGTACATAGGAACACAAAAGTAAGAGATAAAATGGAATGTACTGTTTAGATTGATAAGCTGAAAAATTATGCTAAATAAAAAGCATTTCTTCAAGAAAGTTTAATGTTATGCAAGTTAATATGCTTTTATTTTATATGTAGCTTCCACGTCAAAGGTCTTAAATTACCATAGTATAGGAAAGATATTGATAAGTTTTATAATTCTATATTGGTTAATACAGAAGATTTCTTTTCATTTTGGGAATACTAAATAAAACTTATTTCCCAGCTTTTTTTTCTTGTTTAGTATGATTTTGGCCATGAAGGAGATATTTAAATCTCCTCTATTTATCCAAATAAGCTTTCTGTGTTATTTAGGTGATCTGGTAGCTGTCAATTCTGTATAGTTCACTGCTCTGAACATTTGCCTGTGGTTATCATATGTCAGCTGTAAGCTAGTAGCACAGGCAATGCGACATCAGCAGATTCTGAAGAATGTCTTCAACCAACTATGGAAAAGCTCAGATTCTTGAAATGTCCTATCATGTTAAAATAAGAGATAAAAAACAGCCAATATTTATTTCTGATTTAAGTTTACAGGCCCATAAGTCAACAAACTCTTAGGTACTAACAAAGTTACTTTCAAAGTTATTGATTTACAAACATTCAAATTCAGCAACTAATTCATTTCATTACAACAAAAGGATTCAATTTAGTAGGCAAAATCATATACTCTAACCTAATTATTTCAATCTAAATTGATTCTTTTGGAATTCTAATTCTTCCAAACCCAATTCCCATTTAAAAGGTCCAGCCAGAAAACTATGCCAAGGGAAAAAACCCAAAACATTTCATTTCAGTTTCAGTTATATATGTTGACATTTCTCTGCGGATGAAACATTAATCTCATTGCAGATGACTCATTACTAATGCTTTACCTTACCTCTAATCAATGAAGTTATAGATTCTAAGTGGTTTTAAGTGAAAACACTGACCAGAAAAGATAACACTATGGTTGTATTATTTCAAGTCTGAAATGTGCAGTGAGGTCATAAAGGGCAGTGAGTGAGGCCAGGCAGATTCCCACTACATAGCAGCAGTTTTCCAACAGAATGACACTCTGATGCCAGCAATAAAATGCTTTCAACATGAAAAGATACATGTAGACACATGCCCATCTTACTGCACATGTACAGATATTTTCCACAGAAACCTTAATTTTGTCACCTCATCTATTTTAAAAATAAATCTTGATAAAGCCTGAGTCATAGAGTTAGCTATAAAGACAAGGTCAATTTTAATATTTACCTCTAAGGACTCCTTCAAGTCTACAGCAGAAGCTGCATCTTCCTCTTCATCATCAGTCAGTTGGTCCTGGGAACAGTAGTGAGTGCTGTAAGCAGAATGTTCTTCTATTGCTTCCAGCCAGTCCTGAAATAATCAGTGATAGATAATTAAAACTGACAGCATTTCTATTCAAAAAGAGATAATATGAAAACAACCTGGAAAATATTTACGTGAAAAATATGGCTTCAAAGGAAAAAAAAGCAATATGAAATAGTGATTTAGGTCTCATGCCCATGACTATGTGGATAAAAAAAAAATTCCTGTTCTCTAATTAAAATCATCTGTAGTTTGTATATTAATATAATACTCAAACACATTGTTGAAATTAAAGAACGGGTGGAGAATTTCACTTAAAATTAGTTTCTCAACACTGTTGAGTTGGTTATTAGATTATAATGGATCCAGAAACATGATTTACTAACTGACAATGAAATTGTAAGCACACAAATTGCTAATCATATTAAGAAAGTAAGCAACCTCTACTTTAATTTCTATTAGTTATTAAAAATCAGATTTCATGAAAATAATATTTGCCTAAAAACACCTATATTAGTTCTTTCTCAATTCTTATATTACTCAGAGTCAAATCTTACCATTTTATGAAATGTTGACAAAGTCATGATTTGGGTTGTCCAAGGTTCTTTGCAGAGAACCCTGAAATAAGTTTTACTTTGGGGAAAATGTAGTATTTTAACTCCTTACAAGATTTACAGAAGAAACAAAACAGGCCTATGAAGACTGTTTTGATCTAAAGGAATATGGCTTTCCATTAAATAACTGCACTATGGGGCACTCCCAGTGGCACAACAGGTTAAAGCACCACATTATGAAGCTCTACAAAGACACTGCAGCACGAGTTTCATCTCCCACCAGGGTGTGGCAGACCTCTTCTGACCTGCCTGCTGTTCCCCTCAGCAGTATACTTTTGTCAATCTGCCTGTTCTGCTCCCTTGCTCTGTCTCTGGGGAATCCTCTCACCCACCATACTGGCCTTTACCCCAGTTCTGTAAACATAAATAAATAAATCTTTAAAAAATAATAATTGCACTATGAATTTCTGTAAGGTGAATCCCAATTTCCCAATTTCTTTTCCTTTTTTTTTTTTGCTTGATGCTATCGCTTAACTTGCCGCAATGGAAAGATGAATCTACACTGCGACGCAACAGAACATCTAGACTGGACGCCAGGTTCTGTCAATTGCAAGTTGTATAATTTTAAGACATCCTTCCATCTTTAACCACATGGTCTTCAGTTTCTCCTACCTATAAGTTAAACTGCAGACTAATTAATCACTTAAAACTTTTTCCAGTAAGGGTCCCTTACATTCTCAGAATCAAAAAGGAAAAAAAAAAAAAGCTTATTAAAAGACTATATCTGCAGGTATATATTGCTGAAAATTGAGTTATTAAGCTTTATTTTGTTCAAAAGCATAACTGCCACAATTAAAAAGGGAAATCAATAGCATTTTAGATGCTTATATTCTTATATATATCTGCATGTAAGATATATAGATGCTAATATATCTTACAGTCTGTTCTTAAATGCCCTTTAAATTTTATGAAAGATAAATCCATAAAATTACCTCTCTTGACTGTTGAAGGCTGTTCTTAGGAACCCGGAAGCCATGAATAGTGTCATCAAAGCATTTAATAAAGAAGAGGCAGCTATCAGTGGATTTTACCTTGGACATAAAGAAGTCAGTAAGAAAACACCATTCAGACACATAAATATAGCCCTAACATAGTAATGTATAATTAAAAGCACTAACATGACTTAATTGTACCTAATTGAGCATTTAAAATCCGTTTTGATAAAAGCTGGGAGAAAAAGAGATACAATGGCAGCATCAAATGCACTGCAACTTTATTTCAAATCTAGCTTTCATTTTTTTTTAAGATTTATTTATGCATACAAGAACTGCGGTAAAGGCCAGAGGTACAGGAGGTGAGAGGAGTCACCAGGGACAGAGTGGGGAGCAGAACAGGTGGATTGACTGAAACACACTGGGGAGCAGCAGACAGGACAGGAGAGACCTGCCAAATCATGTGGGTCACTTCCCTGGTTTGAGATCGAACTGCAGTTACTGCAGATTGCTTCACAGTGCTGTGCTTTACCCCCTGTGCCACCAAGGAGGCCCCATATTCTTAGTTATTCAAAGGAAACACTAATAGTCAAATAAGTATGCAGTTTTAGTTTGAAACTTTCTGTTAAACACCATGTACTTGGGCTATAAATCCTTTAAATACCACAGCTCCAATTTCATACGGATACTTTCCTGAACCTTTAAGCTAAGTGTAAAACATATTTGAAGTGAGTACAAAAAACATGAGTAGGTAAGATTGATAAAGAGATAAACTTTGATATAAACAATAAGAAATTACTGTCATTTTGAAATTGAAATCTGGAAATTGAGGGTCTTGAAAAGTGGGAAAGGTAGACTTTGGCACTGAAATCCTAGCAGATGAAACTCCTTGCAGGAAACAATGATTAAAAACTAGATATAAAACAAAAAGTTCCCACCTAAAGGAACTAAAAAGTGAACAGTGACAGCTCTGATGGGGAGCACATGATTTCTGGGGGCAGGGAAAACAAGGAGCTATGCAAGCAAGTTCCAGTCACCAAGGTCTTTCACCTAGCAAGAAGCACCATCCAGTGGTGACAAACAGCATGAAGAGCACACGTAGGAAAACCCGCTACCTTTGGAAATTAAAAAAGCGAAGCTGGAGAGTATTAAAACTAAAGAGAGTAAAGGAGTTCCCCACAGACAGATATACAGGGAGGGCTTCTCTATACTCAGTCTATTCATATCTGTACCTCATGCACTTTTCAATTTGCTGTATGTCTCTGTCAACGTCCATTATCCTTGCATGGTTAATTTGATTGGAACTGCATAGGACAACTGTAAGTGAGGGTGTAGGGAGACTGAGATTCATGTGCACTATTGATATGAGTGTAAAATATCATATTTTAACAGGTGGATTGGAAGACTGTATTTTCACACATTAAGGACTGGAGACTCCCTGGTGGTGCAGGGGTTAAAGTCTCAGTACTATCACCAGCCACTGTGGCAGGAGTTCAGTCCCCAATCCCTGGCCAGGGAATTAACTCACATGGCACAGCAGAGCTGTCTTGTCTCTCCTGCTGCTCCCCTCAGCAGTGTTTTTCAGTAGATCCGCTTGTTCTTTTCCCTACTCTGTCTGAGAAATTCTCGCACCCCCTGCACCTCTGTCCAACACCCCCAGTGCTTGTCTGAATAAATAAAAAAATAAATCCTGGAAAAAACAAAATATTAAGAACTGAACTAGAATATGACCTAACAATTTCACTTCTAGGTAGAATTGAAAGGAGAATCTTTTTTTTTCCTGCTTGATAAGCGTTACTGTGGTTAAAACTACAAAAATTTCATGCTAAAACATTTTGTAATGATAGCAAAATCTTGGAGATATTTGCATACCCATGTTACATGCAGTATTATTCACAATAGCCAAGAGGCAGAAGCAATTCAATATCCAATGACAGATGAATGGGTAAAGAACATGGATATACTAAAGGAATATTATTCAGCCCTAAAAGGAAATCCAGTCACGTGCTACAACATGGTTGAACCTTGAGATATGCTGGCAAGTGAAATAAACAATCACAAGCAGACAATCCTTGTTGAATTTACATAAGGTATATAAACTAGTCAAACTTTCAGAAACAAAGGAGAATGTTCTTTGTCAGTGGTTATAAAGAAGGGAAAAAGGAAATTGTTCAAAGGATTTTAGAAGATGAAAAATTTCTAGAGATCTTACAGGGAATATAGTTAAAGGTACTGAACTATACACTTAAAAATTATTAAAATGGTAATTTTTATGTTACAGGCTCTTCTACCACAATTAAAAAAGTGTGACAACATGAGGACATGGAAAAGACCAGCTTGTATAATTAGGTTATACTGCTGGGCTGTGACAGAACCTGTGATTCCCCAGAAGGGATACTGAGAATCTTCTCAGAGTGTCTACACCTTGAGAACACCTTGAGTGCTCTGAAGAGCAGATGGACTGCCAGGCTGTTGACAGCCCTGAAGGAACTCTGGTAGAAAACAAATTATGCCTAGGTTCCAAGATTTACACTATTATCTGAAGAAGGAAGCCTCACTTTTTCTCCTGCTTAGGAGGTGTAAAATAGAAGTAAATATGACAAGCCTACTAATCCTCATTTTGGCTTAGACTTTATTTTGACACCAAAAAACATCTATTATCCAAATTTACCCATGGACACACACACACAAACGAATATGTGTACATGCACATATATAAACATATAGACATACATAGAAAATTTTAAAAGTTCTGAGTAATTTTGGATCACTCATCTGCCATTCCACAATATGTAGAGATAAACAAAAGTTGGTTGTATTTTTAAAATGGAGATTATACAACTTAGTACTTGTTCTCAAATAAAATACATGCAAGTGCTATCTACACCATTCCATAGAACTCCAAGGTTTACAACACAGCTTATACAAATGAGTTAAGACAATGGCTTGCAGAATTATTTCACAGTTGAGTATAAGATGTGTTTGTCATCCTACCGTGCATACTGCTTGAGTGAGATGTTTGCATCCCTGGCGATAAACATTATGAACTGCATCATGCCTTTAAAACAAATATTAAATTATCAAGGCAAAAAGAATAAGTGAAAACTTCCAATCTTTCACAATTTAGATTTTGAAATGTAATGTGTACAAGTATCACAATACTTACTGTTTTCTATACCATGAAAGGACGCCATGTTCTAACACTACCCAGAATAAGTTCCACCCAAAAAATCTTGAACTCTGAGGGGAAAAAAAGAAAGATTTCCCAAGTTGAAACTTCCAGATCCAAATATTTGACAGATATAAAAGAATTTTTTTAAATTATTATATTAGTTTATTTTTGCATATTTTTGTGCATTTTTCCATTTCAGTTGCAATCCCCTTGGGTTTCCCATCACCACATCACCCTGTGCCATCACCATAGTCCAGTGCATTTCCCTCCCCCCACTGTTTTGGTCCCATTCCCCACTCCACCCCGACAAAATGTCTCTGGTATATAGCTGTTCATCATTATCATTATTTTCTCACCTGTAAAGGAACTAATTTATGGCAGTTTCTTTTTAGTCTTTTCTCTAGCCAATACTGCTAATATAAAATGATCAAATAAAGACTTGGGTGTGAGCTGCATTACATACAGAAACAAACCACTACAGGGTGACAGGAAAAGAAGAAAGGTCAGACTGATAAGATCTATGACGAACATTGCTCTCACAGTACCGTTCAAGAATATTTATAGGAAATATATCAGCTGTGGCCTTCAAAGACAACTTCCTCAAAGTCCTGAATAATTTTCTAAAAAGAATTAGTCTGAATTTTATGCAATGTCAACTATGTATTTAAAGGTCTAGAGGGAGCACTTGCAAATACAAGTACTTAAAATAGTTAATTCTGAAGCAGAAGTTTTTAGAACCAGAAAGATGCTTATATCTGTGCTCTGTGACAATTCAAATTCCTCCCAAGTCCTTTGTGGCTCATAGGAAAAATACAATAATTCTATGATTAAAGAAAAACATTATTTCCTCCCACTCTGTTCTGTACCAACTTGGTCACCTAAAAATTTCTGACAATCAATACAAGATAGTAATTGCTACAATTAGAAGTCTAAGTAAGTCAAACAGTATATAAGGGGTTTATGGTCTAAGGTTCAGAAAGGATCAAATTATACATACATGAGAAATAATTGGACAAAACAGAAACAGCACCTAAGAATATTTCTTTCCAGTTCTATGATCAAAAAGGCATCACACCCACCTTCCAGAGAGGGCCTTCATATCGTTTTAGTACTTTGTGGATAACCTGTTTAAAAAAAAAATGTTTTATTAAAAATGCATCTATGTATTTCAAATTTTTTTTTTAAATTATATAAAGATAGTCTTAATACATACCTTATGACCAATAAGAATGTGTTTCATTTCAGCACCCTGGGCAAGGTCCAGGGGTTTCTGATCTGTGTGAAATACAAAGGAAAGGTCATGGAGAGCTTAACTGTACCATAAAATTGAAGCTGCAGTTGCAGCACATAGTATTTTTCATTATTCCATCAACTTTTTTACCTCTTTCCCCAAATTACCTACCTGATGTTGCAATCTCAATTCTTTATGACCTCCATTTTTAGTAGCTAACTATTTAAGTGAGCCAATCTGATCAACCTCAAAACACTCTGTATGCATTTCATGTGCCTTCAAGTTTTCTTTAGTCACTGTATTAAGTGACTGCTATAACAAATTACCACAAATAGTGTTTTGAAAGAATAACACCAATTCTCTTACACTTGGAGAGGTCAGAAGTCCAAAATCAGTTTCATTAGACTAAAATCTATGTGTAAGCAGGCATGCATTCCTTTTGGGAAGTGTAGGGGTGAAGGTGGGGGAGAGAATCCATTCCCTTCCTTTTTTCAGAAGTGGCATGAATCCCTTGACTTATGATTCCTCCCTCCTCTTCCAAAGTACACTATTCTACTTCTGCTCCCATCCTTCTATTTTTCTCTTACTACTGCCATAGCATTCTTGTGATACACAGGGTCCAACCAGATAAATCAAGATTACTTCCTTATCAAGATACTTAACTAATCACAGGTATGAAAGGCCATTACTCGGCATACCCCAGCATTCTAAAGCTATTTAGCTGGAGGACAGATCCGCAGGACAGCTCACAAACTAAGGGTGTGATAATGGTCCACATTTGAGGACAAAAGGAAAATGCAGTAATAGAGAAACAACTTGCAAAGTATTGTGGTGATTTTTTCAACATTACATAAGCAAGCACTTTGTTTTGTCAGAGAAATAAAATGGAATTTGGTTTCTCAAAATTATTGAGCTCTGGAGTGAGGAGGACACTATAAGAAAGATGCAAGAAGCTAAAATAAAAAGTAACTTCAAATAGCTTGTAACTGCTAGAGAAACAGAAGCCACCTATACACATTGAAAGCAAGAAAGAGCCCTTTCAAAATAAGGTGTCAGACTGGAATTCTACCTCTGATTATGCAATGAGTTAATATTTTCTATCAAATAACATTTTCGTAAATACCAAATACCTGGTATGTGTTGGACAATGATTTCTAGAAACACCTCCCAATGAGAGTCTATTATGTACCAATGAATATGCTGGGCATATTCAACACTGAACAAGGCAGGAAAAATTGCGCGGGGCCAGGGGAAACCAGGAAAGGCATAAGGGAAAGACAAAGTTGTAGCAAGTAGTCAGTATATTTTACCAGTATTTTTTAGAGAAATGATTTCACAGAGAATGACTGGGTAACCACTTTAGAATGGGAATTCAGGGACCGATCAGAAATGTTCCCTCTGAGGAAGGGATATTTAAGCTGAAAGGTAGGTCCAGCCCTATGAAAATACAAGAGAACAGCACTCCAGCAGAGAAAATGGCTGATGCAAAGGCCCTACAGTAGAACAATTTAGTGAATGAGGTGAAAATCAGAGAAGTAGAAAGTGTACACAGCATGTCAGTTCTGTACGCGAGACATCTGTGTGCCAGCATGAGGTATTTGGTTTTCATTCTAAAGATGATGTAAAGCCACTGGAGAGCTTTAAGTAGAAGAGTAATGTGGTGAAAGTTATGCTTAAAACTTTGCCAAAGACTAAAAAAAAAAAAAAAAAAGAGGGAGGTTATAAGATTGGAAAAATGTGAACTTTACCTATTTGATGATTTTGAAAAGCTCTATTATATAAAAAGGATAATGCTATTGTGGTTTTGATATTTTAATTGATCTACTGGGGTATTTACCCATTTAAAGCTTACAATTCGATGGTTTATAGCATAAAATTGTGCAACTATGATGTATGATTATATGTGTTTCATTAAGGAGCCTGTCTCTTTTACAAATATACTGAAATATTTATAAATGAATGATAAATACAGAATCGTTTCAAAATAATCTATAGAGTATGAGGTGGATGAAGAAAGCCAAAAGGAGAGTGAACACTGATAACTCCTGAAGGAGGGTAATAAGTATGTTAATTATACTATTCTATTTAAGTGCTGATAATTTCCATAATTAGAATAAAAAGCTCACCATAGTTGCTGTAAGGAAAAGTTAGTAAATTTGGTCCAGTAAAGCAGAGAAACTAAGTACAAAGCAAAAATCTGTATACCAAGGGTCAGTAGCAAAACAGACAGTAATTAAAAAAAAAAAAAAGCCTAAAATGAAAATAAAATAAATGAAGGCAAAATTACGTTAAAAAAAAAAAAAACTGAGACAGTAAATAGTGTGGAGAGAACTACTTGGTTTGGGATTTCTTTTCCAGGTTGAGTTATAGAAATGCTGGTTGGTAAAACTGGAACTGATCATATTACTTTCTAGTGGGGGAAAAAAACTTACAAATGTTAACTGAGAAATTAATCACATTAGGTTTTCTAGTTAGCACAAAGGAAGAACGGTCTTAGAAAAAGGCAGGAAGCCTGTCTTTATTCTCTCTATGCAGCGTTTATGAGAAATTATTCCTTTAGGCAGAAAGGAGAGATGTGATTTTTTTTTTTCATAGAATTTTGTCCTAATACCAAAAATAAATTCTGAACTCCTGCCAACTAGCTAAAATCCCAGTTAGAAACCCTCATTCCTAGATTCAAAGCGTGAAGCGCCTGGCACACAGTAAGAATTTAATAAAATGCTTTTTAAACTAAATGGAATAGCCTTGTACCTGACAAGGCACCATAGCCAGCTATTTTGAAATTTGCTTTACTGCCTCTTATCAACCACAACAAATTTAAAAAATAGCAATGATCCAATATTTAAATCAAGCAGACTGATCTCTTAATGGGAGCACTAAAAAAAAAACCAAAATAAAAGTCAACACTCCTCATGTTTATTTACACAGAAAGCAATTTCAATTAGATGCCAACAGTACTTTTACTAGCGCTTAAGAAAATATGGTTAATGTCAACTGGAAGGATAAGCAGATAATGTCAAGGAAAATCCTCAAAAAAGGAGTTGTACGAGGATATTACAGATATTAAAACATTTTTCTAAATCCCATTAAAAGAAGTACAACATTGGTGAAGGGACAGGGTAATGAAACAAAACTAAATTCTTAAAAAGTGTGAGAAAGCTAAAATGAAACGTGAAAAGCCTTGCTTGATAAGTGGCATAAAGAGAAGTAATCAGCGGCCCTCCCTGGTGGCACAGCGGGTTAAAGCACAGCACTGAGAATCTAAAGCCGCTTCCGCATGAGTTCGATTCCCGCCTGCCCCGGAGGAGACCACATGGTGTGGCAGACCTCTCCTGACCCGCCCGCTGCTCCCCTCAGCAGTGTACTTCGCCGATCTGCCTGTTCTGTTCCCCACTCTGTCTCTGGTGAAGCCTCTCACCGCCCCTGAGCCTCTGGCCTGTACCCCAGTTCTGTATGCACAAATAAATCTTAAAAAAAAAAAAAGTGATCAGCCATTTGAAAGCAGCCACATCGATTTTTCTGCTCCACCAGCACCACATTTACCAACAGGGTTGCTTTCCTGAAATTCTCTGCATTTCCCACTCCAGGCACCCTGGCAGCTTTCTTCTTCAAGTACACCAGTGGTGCCCTACCCTGGCGCCTTTACCATTGCTGTCCTTTGCTTCCTGTGCTCTTGCCAGGGGACTCATGGCTCAGTCTCCTACTAAGTTTGGCTACTGGCCCAAAGAGCCTTCAGAAAGGACTTCCGCAGGCCCCTTCCAAAACAGCACCTTCTGCCCACTGAATCCCTACCCATAACCCACTGCACCCTATCTCATATCTCTCCCCCTCATTGTCTGACAATGGTTCCTGGCACAGAGCAGCAGCTCAGCATTTGCTGAGTGATTGGAATGTGATTATAGATGAACCAGGAGACAACAGAGTCAAGTATTTACCAAATCTGTTACCCAAGTTGAAAAGTATTAGAAGAAATCAAAGCAGAGGATCAACAAGTTTCATTACAAATTTAAAGTATCCTTGTTTTATAAAAAATATACTAAGCAAATTTAGTAGTAAGTAGATATAGAAATCATCCTTGCTCTTATCATTCAAGTTTTAGGGAGGAAGATTCTGGGTGAATACTATCCACTTGTGCCACAAAGATTTACTCTCCATATTTATTGTGGTGTTTTCAGAACATGAAAAAACTGTTGATACTTGGTTAAAAAGCAGTATTTTAATAAGCCAAGGCTATTTATAACCTTTAAACTACAAGGAACAGTGGGCACAGAGCTGTTTGCCAGCCCACACTCTCTCCATATTCTCTGAGCATTGCCCTATCCACAGTACCAGGCAAAGGGCCTAATAGCCATGTCTGTGCCACATGGCTTTGTGCTCCTAGCAGCTGACTGTGCTATGGCACACATCTAACGCAAGTGGATCCCATCAGATCATCTCCCACTGAAATTTAAAACTGAGGCCAGGAAATCCTGGAATGGAATTACAAGGGAGTCATTTTCCGTCATGTACACTGGAAAACAAAAACGCTGATCTGCTAAGAGACAGAAATGAGAGACCATGCAATAAGAGAAAAATACACCTTTGATGAGTGACAGCCATCTTGTTTCCTAACAGCTTCCTGGCTCCTGATTCCATCCCTGACTGCTGAATAGCATTTCCTGCTTTTGAATACCACCAGATATTTCTGTACTTCTATTTAATAATAAATGAGATCTATATTTTGCTTGAACTTAAGTTCTAATACTTAAAAAAAAAAAAAAAAACTAGTCTACCATAGAACATTAAAAAGTAAAAACTAGGCTCCCTGGTGGCGCAGTGGGTTAAAAGCACAGCACTAAGAAGCTGAAACCACTTCCGCATGAGTTCGATTCCCGCCTGCCCCGGAGGTGACATGGCGCGGCAGACCTCTCCTGACCCACCCGCTGCTCCCCTCAGCAGTGTACTTCGATCTGCCTGTTCTGTTCCCCACTCTGTCTCTGGTGAACTCTTTCACCACCCCTGAGTCTCTGGCCTGTACCCCAGTTCTGTATGCACAAATAAATAA